GCAACAGCATCATCAGCATCATCAGCAGCAGCATCAGCATCATCATCGTTCTCGTCATCATCATCATCATCATCATCATCAGCAGCAGCAGCATCAGCATCATCATCAGCATCATCAGCAGCATCAGTATCCTCATCATCATCATCCTCATCCTCATCATCATCGTCATCATCAGCAGCATCAGCATCATCATCATCATCATCATCAGCATCATCATCATCGTCGTCATCACCATCATCATCGTCATCATCGTCATCATAATCATCAGCATCAGCACCATCATCGTCATCAGCAGCCAGCCTCATCATCGCCATCAGCATCATCATCATCATCATCATCATCAGCAGCAGCAGCATTATCATCAGCATTATCAGCATCAGCATCAGCAGCAGCATCATCTGCATCTTCATCATCAGCAGCAGCAGCAGCAACAGCATCAGCATCGTCATCATTAGCAGCAGCATCGTCATCATCAGTATCATCAGCATCAGCATCAGCATGAGCAGCATCAGCATCAGCATCAGCATCATCATCAACAACATCAGTATCATCATCATCAGCATCCGCATAACCATCAGCATCATCACCATATCAGCATCATCATCAGCAGCATCATCATCATCACCAGCATCATCATCATCACCATCATTAGCAGCCTTATCATTACCAGTACCTGTATCAGCATCATCACCACCATCTTCCCTGTTCCTCCCACTACGCCTCTTCTTATTTCCCCACACACACACACACGTGTTCCCCGACTGGTCCCCACAACGGCCAGAACATCCAACATCTTAGTCGGCACCCCGACAAGCGAAGCTGGTTTGTAAACGCACCCAGGGAAGGAATCGAACAGGACAGGGCTGTTCAGTAAACGCCCGAGGCCGCTTAGGGAAACGCAAATATTGGGGGCCGAGGTGGTTTTCCTCTCTTGAGAATTCGAGTAGGGGATCGACTGGAGAGTTGCTTTACCCCAAAATTACCTTTTTCGTCGAGCCTGCCAACACAGTACTTAGAGTGTTCGTAGAGCTAAGAACGTTCGACGTGTTTCGGTGTAGCTCCGACGACACTTTCAAGTGTGGGGGCAAACCGATTACTCCAGATTTCGTAATAAAAGGGAGGGGGTCTGGACCCTCCAAGACAAGCCATTTCAGACCTCACCCGTGGGAGAACCCTGCAAAACAGCGTCCCCAGACCCCCCAGGCCCTCCAAAATAGCCTGGAAGAACCCCCCCCCCGAAATGAGACCCCCCTCCCTTTATTACGAAATCTGGAGTACACCCATCTGACATGTTAAGAAGCAGCGGAAGTTCTCGTGGGCTTCAGGTGTCGCTCCAGGAAATCCAGAGTCTGGGCTGGAACCTAACCTGGGCGTTTCCTTGGAGCTTCTTTTCTTTGTGAATGTCTGTGCAGATGTCTGGAGTATGCAGTCGACCTCCTGCCCGAAGACTCGGAACCCCGACGCCCTTGGGGGGGGGGGGGGCACGGCTCTCCGAGTGCCACCGCCACGCGGCACGCCCAGCGCGCTGGAGAGAAAATAGCAAGGGCCTCCTCCTCCTCCTCCTCCTCCTCCTCCTCCTCCTCCTCCCCCTCCCCCTCTCCTCCTCCTCCTCCTCCTCCCCTCCTCCTCCTCCTCCTCCTCCTCCTCCTCCTCCTCCTCCTCCTCCTCCTCCTCCTCCTCCTCCTCCTCCTCCTCCCACTCCTAGCCCTTTCGATCAGGGTCGGCGGCACCGGCCGTCAGGCCTCTCCAATAGCAAGGGCCTGAGGCCGCAGGATGGGGCCCTGCCGAGACCGACCAGCTCCGGAGGGGACGCCTCTGGGCACGCCCCGCGAGGCCAGGGCTCTGAGGCCGCTCGTGGGAGCGTTCGCGTCACGCGCACGCTGGGTCTCTTCTGAATGAGCGTGGGGGGGTACCCCCCGACGGGGGTCGGCCTCGCCTTGTCGTCGCGCCGCGACGGGGGGGGGGAAGCGCCTTCGGCGCGCGGTGGCTGCCCGCGACGGGGGTCGATGTGGGGCGATCGGCGAGGGTGAGGGTCTGGAGGGAACGCGAGTCCTGCGGTGTTTCGCCGCGCTCGGGCTCTCGGGGCCCTCCACGGGCCACGGGACCGTCAGGAAACGACTCGGGATGGAGATCTCGTCCTGGGGGGAGGTCCCTCAGGGTCCAGGACCCGTTTCCCCCAGGACAGGTTTCCCTCAGGCGCCTTCTCGTTACCAGGAGGGCACCAACTACACACCAACACCGATCCTGGCCCAGGATCACCCTGGGCCCAGGATCGGTGTATACGCCCTCCTGCCTTGCGCAAGAAGGCATATACACCGATCCTGGGCCCAGGGTGATCCTGGGCCAGGATCGGTGTTGGTGTATAGTTGGTGCCCTCCGACCTCAGGCGCCTTCTCGTTACGCTTCCTCCAAGGTGTGTAAAGTAGCCGGGCGAACGGCCCAACCACATGCAGTTGTCAACACCATCGTTGTACGCACCGCATTCGGAAGAGCTCCCTAGAGGGCCACGAAACGTGCGAGGGGTGTGCCAAAGTTGGTGCGGTGGGCGCATGCGAACGCAGCCACTGGGGCCGTCGGTGGAGCTCCCCATGGGGCCATGAAAAGTGTGAGGGGTGTTCGAAAATGGGTGCGGTGGGCGCGTTCGAACGCAAACTTTGGGGTCGTCGGTGGAGCTCCCTGTGGGGTCACGAAACGCATGAAGAGTGTGCCAAAATGAGTGCGAAGGGCGCATGCGAGCGCAGCCACTGGGGCCGTCGGTGGAGCTCCCCATGGGGCCACGAAACGTCTGAGGGGTGCGGGTATGGGCGCGGTGGGCGCATCGGTGGAGCTCCATATGGGGCCATGAAACATGTGAGGGGTGCGCCAAAATGGGCGCGGTGGTGCCATGCGAACGCAGCCACTGGGGCCCTCGATGGAGCCCCCCATGGGGCCACGAAACGCGTGAGAGGCGTGCCAGGATGGGTGCGGTGGGCGCATGCGAACGCGACCACTCGGGCCGTCGGCGGAGCTCTTAAATGGGGCCACGAAACGTGTGAGGGGTGTGCCAAAGTTGGCGCGGCGGCCGCATGCGAGGGCAGCCACGGGGGCCGTCGGTGGAGTTCCCTGTGGGGCCATGAAGGATGCGAGGGGTGTGCCAACAATGGGCGTGGTGGGCGCATGCGAACGCAGCAAGTGTGGCCGCCTGTGGAGCCCCCATATGGGGCCATGAAACGAGTGAGGGGTGTGCCAAAATGAAAGGGGTGGTGCCATGCGAGCGCAGCCACTGGAGCCTTCAGTGGAGCTCACTATGAGGCCACGAAACGCGTGAGGGGCGTGCCAAGATGGGTGCGGTGGGCGCATGCGAACGCAGCAAGTGGGGCCGTCGGTGGAGCCCTCTATGAGGCCACGAAACGTGCAAGGGGTGTGCCAAGATGGGTGCGGTGGGCGCATGCGAACGCAGCCACTGGGGCCGTCGGTGGAGCTCCCCATGGGGCCACGACTCGTGTGAGGGGTGTGCCAAAATGAAAGGGGTGGTGCCATGCGAGCGCAGCCACTGGAGCCTTCAGTGGAGCTCACTATGAGGCCACGAACCGCGTGAGGGGCGTGCCGAAATAGGAGCGGTGGTACCATTCGAGCGCAGCCACTGGGGCCCTCGGAGGAGCTCCCCATAGAGCCACGGAACGTGCAAGGGGTGTGTCGAAATTGGCGCGGTCATGCGAGCGCAGTCACTGGGGCCCTCGGTGGAGCCACCTACGGGGCCACGAAACGTGTGAGGGGTGTGCCGACATGGGCGCGGCGGTGCCACGCGAGAGCGCAGCCACCCCAGGTGGAGCTCCCTGTGGGGCCAGGAAACGCTGTACTGGGTGCGCTGAAATGGTGGACATGCGAAGGACAAAGGCAAGGGTGGGAGGAGGGGGAGGAGGAAGGAGGAGAGGAGAGGAGGAGACGCGGTGCGCTGTCTCTTCCAAGCGAGGACCCAAAGGGAGGGGGTCACAACCCTCCCAGACGAGCATTTTTAGACCTCTCCGAGACCAGCCATGGCAGGGCGGCATGTTGCCCAGGTCCCACTGGAACCCTCCAAGACAGCTCAAGTTAGACCCCCCAAAATCAGACCACCACCTGTTTATTGTGAAGTCCAGAGGAAGCGTCTGCTTTCGTTCCACTTCCGTCCCACCTCCGTTCCACGCCTGGCGCGGCTTCTGGCCCACGCCGCGCGACGCCATGGGCCTAGCGCCATCAGAGCACAGCGACCGCGGGCGCACAACAGCGACGCAGAAGTGGTACGGAAAAGGCACGGACTCTGCAAAACCACGGAGAAGTATGACGCGAAGGCTCCCAAGAACAGCTACCCAAGCCAGAGGGTCGCCACAGCTGAAACGAGAGCAAGATCGGGATAAAAACAGACCAGGATGAATCAGGAACCTCTGAGATCCAACGGTTCTGGAGCATGTTTCTGAGCATCGTTTATCCGACCCCCATCCCCAGCGGCGTGTCCTGGGCCTCACTGGCCGATTTACCCCCCTAGATAGGGATATAGGCCGTTCCCTTCGGGTTTCGAGGGGTGTATCTCCAACTGGGGTGGTAACTTGGTGGGGGTCTCGAAGGGGATGAGGATGGAGATGGGGATCGGTTAAACGATACTGAGTTTCGGGCACCGCGAACGTTCCAGAGCGCTCTGGAACGCTCTCAGGAGAGATTTATCCCGCTCCTGGGCCTGTCTGAATCAGCCAAGGGGTCGACACACTTGTACCTGCACGTTTCCGGCACTGGCGATGGGAGTGCAAAGGAATGGCTTCCAGCTTCTGCACGTGTACGATTGGCGTCGATAGGCAGGCAGGGTGAGTGGGTTCGGGTTCTTTTTGAAACCCCCACTTTGCACTATATCTCTCCACTCCGCCTCCGGTCCCATCGTCGACGATGCTCGCTCGATGCTGCACTGTAGGCAATTTGGAACGAAGAGCCCCTAGGGGGCGAAACGCGTAACCTCAGTCTTTTCGCTTGAGACTCGATCCAAAACAGGCGCCTACATCCATAGCCCAGGTCACGGCATCGAAGCACGGCTCGCCCTCGAAAGCGTCGCGGCACTTTTCCTGCCAGGTGCGCGCCCACTGCAACCGAGAAAACCGAGCAGTATCAGCGAGAAATGGACGAGAGACCAGAGAGAGCTGCAGCAAGAGAACGAGAAAGACGGGTAAAGAGAAAGAGAGAGAAAGAGAGTGCGAAAGACAGAGAGAGAGAGAGAGAGAGAGTGCGAGAGAGAGAATGAGAGAGGGAGAGGGAGAGGGAGAGGGAGAGACAGGCAGACAGAGAGACAGAAAGACAGCCACAGGCAGATAGACACAGGCACAGACAGACAGACAGACTGCCAGACAGAAAGACACACACAATTCGCCGGCCCAACGGGCCAGAGGCGTGCTAAGATCTCCGGTAACTGGTTAACAGGTAACTGGTTAATAATATTTCTAGTTCGCGCGCGCGGGGCGGCCCATGGGGGTCCCCCAGCGAAAAGTACCCCGACCGCCGCCCGACCGCAGCCCGGCAACTGCTACTCAGAGCTCCTGGGTGTGGTTTCTCAGGACCCCCAGAGCGCGCCAAGAGTGCCCCAAGAGGCCCCCAAGACTACCCAAGACCCTCGGTGGAGCTCCCTATGGGGCCACAAAACGTGTGAGGGGTGTGCCGAAGTTGGCGCGGTGGTGCCATGCGAGCGCAGCCACTGGGGCCCTCGGTGGAGCTCCCTATGGGGACACGAAACGTGTGAGTGGTGTGCCGAAATGAGCGCGGTAGTGCCATGTGAGTAGTGCCATGCGCGCTGCGAGCGCAGCCACTGGGCCCTCGGTGGAGCTTCCTATGGGGCCACGAAACGTGTGAGTGGTGTGCGAAATTGCCGCGGTGGTGCCATGCGAATGGTGCCATGCGAGCGCAGCCATTGGGGCCCTCGGTGAGGCTCCCTACGGGGCCACGAAACGTGTGAGTAGTGTGCCGAAATGAGTGCGGTGGTGCCATGCGAGTGGTGCCATGCGCGCTGCGAGCGCAGCCACTGCGGCCCTCGGTGGAGCTTCCTATGGGGCCACGAAACAAATCATGTGTGTGCCGACGTGGGCGCAGTGGTGCCATGCGAGCGCAGCCACTGGGGCCCTCGGAGGAGCTCCCTATGGGGCCACCAAACGTGTGAGGGGTGTGCCGAAGTTGGCGCGGTGGTGCCATGCGAGCGCAGCGGCCCGACGGCGGGGTCGCCGAAGGCAGAGCGGGTGCGGGGGGGAGGCTGGAACACTGGTGGCGTTCGCAGCGCGAGCGAACAGCGCACGGGCGATGCATGATAATCCAACTGTGCGAGATGCCCCATGAGGAAGACCAGGCGCTGCCGGCCGAGGAGTTACAGTCGGTAGTGGTCGCGCCCACCAGCGATGCGCAGCACGATCG